GCAGTATTCAACTAAATATTTATTAAAATTGACTATATTTTTTTTCAGTGTAAGAAAAATTTGCGTTAGTAAACTTTGTAACTTTACAAGTATTGTTTATGTCACTAAAAATTATTGTAATTAAAAAGTTAATACATTTAAATGTTAAATTTTTCTAATTATTATTGAAATGTATAAAAATTAAAAAATTTTTTTAATTATTATTCCAAAGAAGTAAAATGTACATTGTATATGAAAAGATTTTTATTAAATATGATTACAACAATGCATTATTAAGAATTTCATATAGAATGTGATCTGTTCTCTCACCTGGTAAAGTCGGCAATCCGAAGATGACCGTGACAAACGTACACAGGAGCACTAGACTAAGAGCGCGAACTGCCATGGTGTCGGGATTCGATGTTCTTAGGATGCACTGCATGCGAATCCTTTAATCTCACCGCTTTTATAGTCACCTATCCGACACGCATTTGATCCTGATGTAATTATGTAACGTTCCATCTCCATCGCTTTTCTCCGCGCGTTGCACACCGCACCGCGCCGAGCAACCACTGATTTTTGGATTTTCCGAGGGAGTCCCCGGTAGTATGCGCGTGCGCTCTGACACTTTTCTTCGAGGCGAAGATGCAATCATGTGCATCAACAAGAACACTATATCAAGAACACCGAATGAAATTCAAAACGCAAAGAAAAACAATGAACTTGATAATTTAATATGCACAGCCTGTAATTTCTGTGTGTGCGAATAATTATCTTGTGGTTTTCCATCGTTGATCATTCTATTGATAATGTTAAGGAAATTCATCACAAACGAAATTCTTTATATCATTAGAGTAAGAGAGTTCTCTCTTACCATAAAAATAATATTAATATTAATGAGAACAAAATAACCGGTGTATGACGTACAAAAGTTAATAGCGCAGAAATTAATAGCCAATTAGCCATTTTTCATTACTCCTAAGGCGTTGTTAGATCATAAGGAAATGATGAAAATAATAGGAACAAATGAGAATCTAGTTGTCAAAGAGCTGCTACTATAAATGACTACTTGGAAATTGCATCAAATAGTAATTATCTTTTCTGAACGGTGCTCTATGCAGGACAGATACAAATAGGCATTCTTATTCATTAACTCACCATTAACCTAACCTAGTAATAATCTTTAATTATTCACATTTTTTATTTACTATTATATTTATCGCATATATTTCAACATACTTACGTAGCCTTCAGAAATCGTAGCAACGTCATTTCATTACTTTGACTAATGGTAGAATGATTCCCCTACTGAGCTATTATTGTAATTAAAGAGTTTCCATACATTAAACGTGGAATGACGTTCGCTAGGATTTCCCGAACTCGAGCACGTATATTTTTTCCTAATTAGTGTTGAAATTGCAACATTCTCTCACGCTACTTAATAGATCTACATTTCGATACAAAAAAACCTATGAGATTTTTAAACATGCAATTCTGCAATCTCTGTTTACTTGTAAATTAATTATGATTTTCCCTTAACATTGCTATGTTAAGTCTTCTTTCATTAAATATCTCTATTGATGTATTAATTTTGAAACAAATGTTATTTTTGATAATTTATATTTCTTATATATTTCAATACTTCTATTTTATTTTAATTTAATAAAAAATATTGATTATATATTGATTAGCGTCTAGAATTACGATCAAGTAGCATATGCAAACCATCCGGTTAATATTTCTCTGTTTACTTGGATTAATATTTCTTCATTTGTTTCTAAATTAATTAAGCAATTCTCTTAACACTGTTATTTTGAATCATCTTTGATTAAAAACCTATGATGTATTATAATTTTGAAACAAAGATTATTTTTATCAATTTATATTTCTTATTTTAATGTTTATATTTTATTTTAATTCGATACAAGCTATTGATTTTATAGTAATTAGCGTTTAGAATTACAATCAAGTCGCACGTGCAAACCATCCGGTTAATATTTCCTGTTTGCTTCGTTGCGGTTAAAGTCGTTGCAATCACGTTATTGCGTGTCAATTTTGCTTATGTGTAAATTTTCGCATATTCTATTCTATCATCGATCACGAATGTATCACTTTGCTTATAAAAACATCGATACGAGTTTCTTAAGTGCATGATGTAACATCGTATTTTTTTTTTCGAGATTTAACGACAAAAAATTAATTCAATACGTACTTTTATGATCAATAATTGTGCTTTGAGAGATCTTGCGTTTTGTAATTTACATTTGTGATAAGATGGAAAAGATTAGAAATAGTAACAATAACAAGTTACGTACAATTATCGTAGTAAACGACGTAATATTAATTTTTAATGCTATAAGACAAATATCTAAAATATTTAACAAAGCCGTTTATTAATTGATAATATTACTATAACAAAAATAATCACACATTATAGTCTCGTTTCTTTTTGTGTCGTAAAATATACAATATTAATATTTTTGTTGTCGCTGCTCATTCTTGCATTGCAGCTTTCGTACGTGTCATATGAATATTGCAACATATTAAATAAAACATGTCTTTTAACTCAACACTTTCTACTGACGTCATTAATAACACTCATCTGTAAACGGAAATAATCAGATTTTCTGAGAAAATGTGATAGTGCTTGCAGATTTGGTTTTCTGGGATGATCCGTAATAGTACTTGCGGATATTGTTACTAAGAAAGATCTAGTATCGTATATGGTTATTCGAATTGTGCGTAACTAAAACCGCATGAATCTCCAACAACACAAATCATCTTCCTGTTGACTATAAAAGAATGCGGAATTCGTTTAGCCTTGGCTGAGATCGAGTAAATCGGATTTAGAAGTTACAATCGTTTTGATGATGGAGAGTCATGACGAAATCCCTTTGAAGGAAGATGCCGATTCGAAGAAGGATCCATTTATTAACGGGCCATACATTTCGTAATAATTTTACTAATGCGATATTCCACATTCTCAATATATAAAGGAAGAATGGAGCTAATACATATATCATCACTGCAAATAATTTGTGATTACAATTTACATACCATAGATCATTGTACGTACCGCGAGTATGCAAATCTGTATAATTGCTATTATAGTATATAAAAATACGCGAAACAAGATTATTTTGAAAATATTAAGAAATAGTATGTTCTCGTTTATACATTTTTCTCAGGATTCGAATCAATATCAGCGACTGCACTGAGAAAAAAATATAGTCAATTTTAATAAATATTTAGTTCAACTAACTGCCAACTAAAGATTTACTTACAGTAAATAAATATTTGTGTTCAGTAAAAAAAAAGATCGTTAAATTAAATTAACATTTCTTGTATCAAATAAATATATCTTTATATTTAATAAATATTTAGTTAGCATGCAGTATTCAACTAAATATTTATTAAAATTGACTATGTTTTTTTTCAATGTGCATACTAATTTAATTAGTATGCACATACAAAGAGCATACAAAAGAATCATAAAAACCAGATGGTTAATAGATTATAAGCTTATTACTACAATTGTTTTAATGTACACACGTGCATACTTTTATTAAGATTTTTATCTGAAATACTTGGTACAACAGGAACTTATTAATCTTATACTCTCTAAAAAATATTAACACCTACCGACACGACGTCTATAATTCTGATATAAATCTGATATGATTCTGATATAATTCTCGCTATGTTGATGTTAATATTAACACTAACACAGTGAGAGTTATATAGAGACCACTATTTTTTTAGAGTGTAAAGAATAAAGTATTTTTAAATCATGTTTTTAAAAATTAAATTATTAATTTTATTTAATGTAAAATAAATAAATGACAATACATATAAATATGTGTGCATAATTTTTGAACACGTGTGAACAATTATTGTACAGTAAAAAATTAATTATATACTACACATCACGGAGATTTTCTTTACTATTTAACAAATTAGTCATTCGGCTCGGTCATTTATTGATAACATCATATAAATTTCCATCAAAAAAAAGAGATGCTAATTATCATTGTTATATTATATCTGACATTATGCCACAATTATTACTAGTATGTTATTATCAAATAAAAATCTATTGATAGCTTTAACCTTATGCTCTGATAAATGTCAAGTTTGCTCTTCGTTAATTGTATAGAATACAAATAATTGAATCTCTCGCGGATAAAGCTCGACCGGTTTCACGATAATTATTTTTGTCGTAACTTTTTGTGAGTCAAACTGAGACGATCAGTGAGTCAGTGTTGAGACCTTGAATCACATCGACAAGTATTCCAAGCTTCTTATAAATATCGTAAATTTAATACGATATCGTTACTTTTCTGATAGTTTTGTTATATTTTAGTATATATATATAGTTATTTTGCTCTATCTGTTTCGTATCCCTTTATCAATTTTACGATTTTTGTAGTTAATGATATTTTGAAGGGAGATGAATTATATTGATAGAGATGGACATTTATTTAATATACAGAACTTGATTTTGTTTCGTTTTTTATTCATTGCAAGTCCTATCTATATGTATTGAAGTGTTCTTCCTTCGTGCAATATTTCTAAGAAATTCGAATTCATGGAAAGATAAATGCTATTTTTTTTAAATCCGTATATGATTAATTGTTATCTTTGATGATGTACGAGCTGAGGAAATAGCATGTTACTACGTCATGTGTAATTTGTTAAAAAATTAACTCAAATAAAAAATTATCTTAATTGATAAACAATTTGAAAAATAAATGCGAGATATTTATCATTATTTAAAAAATCGGTATCTTTTTACATTAGAGGATACCTTAGAGGATTAACAATAAGGTGAGAGTCAATTTATAAGAAAATGAGAACATTATGCACTTGGCGTCGCGACGCCATCGCGTCGCTTGATTAATACCCTCATAGCTCTGTGACATATGTCAAGGTCAAAATCATCAAAGAGGTGTCCCCTGTGAATTACAAAATGCCAAAAAGTATTTAAACGGTTCTTAAATGTTATGTATGAATTCTTGCTGACCAAAAAGGCTTTCTGCAGTATATTACCAATACATTATTTTTGTTTAAGTACGTATTTGAAAGAAGATTTTGTCCTTTCTACTGAAAGAATTAAGTAACGCCGAATTTAAATGATTAATAATTAGCAATATATAAATATCAAAGTTATGCGTTTACACGTAAAATATAATAATTTGCATCAACATGTATATAACGTATAAACTAACGCTTATCTTCTTTACTGTAGCACTGGATTCCATTAAAACTTTTATTTTGCTTGTATATTTTTATTTATCAATTAAGATTAGCTATACTAACAATAATAAAACTTAATTACTTCTTTCTTATATCGTATTAGGTATAATTTATATATTTACAATTTATTTTATATGCTTAACTATTATCTATACGAAAAAAATTTGCATAACTTAACATAAATAATATGTAAATATTTCATGTAGGTAAAGTCAGTTTTTTAAAATATGGTTACAACTTTGATAAATATTAATAAATTATTTAATTCACGCTATCATTTATCTGTCATTCTAATTCATGTACCGTCTGCTGATATAATGGCTAAAATGATTAAAGTCGTTGATAAGACAGATTTCTGTTATTTCATAAATTATTATTTAGGCCATCGGTTATTTCAAAGATGTCGCGATTAGTTCAAGATTATATCTTTAACAATTCCGCAGGGATGATCCGCACAATAATTTTTATGTAGTACTTTTAAAAATGAAGTTTAAGGATTGGCCGAGAATTTCTTTGAATAAATTAGTTATTCCAATGAGTAATGATTTGAGAGCATTGTTTTCGCGATCTTTTTGCGGTTTTGCTTACACTAAAGAAGACCCAAACTTCTAGTTAAAATGTTTGTATTTTTGCATGTAATTACGACTTGCATGTAATTCTGTATTGCGCATTAATAATCATGAAGACTCTTATTAGTTACCTTGTTCCTTTTTACTGCTTTATTATTTATCTTTTTAGTATAAATTATAAACAAAAGCATTTAAATTTTACAAATTTTTATATTATCATTATATTATCAATATTATCTTCATATGTTAAGATAATATTTTTCAATATATGTATATATTTTATCTTTACTGGATGCCATAATCGAAAGTTATAAAGTTCTTGATACTAACTAAAATCTCAATATGTTACTTTCTTTTAACCCTTTTAACCTCGCATCGAGCAAGGTTCATGTTTCATTACAACTTATCTTTGTGCGAATCAGTTTCCTGGAAGTACGATGAAGTAGGAAATTTTAAAATAAGAGGAGAAATAATAAATTACGTCATGAATCGCGCATTACTATCATAGCTGAATTGATACCATCATCAGAAATTTTCTATTATCAAGCATGCTTTATTATAAAAATACAATTACGAATTATCAATAATAATGTGATAAATATTAAATATTGAAGAGAGATAATAATGTATTTAATAATGTATTTAATAAATACCTTTATGAAAAGCGATATATATATATATATATATATATATATATTTAATGATCGAAAATTTAAAAAATTATAGTTATGTTTCTAAAAAATAGTCAAATATTCAAATAGAAAAATATTCAAATTTTTATTGACTCAATTAATTACTGATAAGCTAGAGAAGAAGCAAGATATTATAAATATGGCTAATTATTTTATTAATTAGCACAAATAAAATATTTGTTTAATAAATTTTGTGAGTACATATTAATTTTTATTTGTATTTTTATCATACAATATCAAATAATTCATCAACAGTTTGCGCGAGATCAGAAATTAAATCACTACCAGAATACTTTTGTTTAAAATCTTTGCTTTGGATTTGAAGATTTATCGATCCATGATTTTGGTTGGTTCTAATATCGTGTAGCTGATGTTTAATTGAAAAATCTGGTCGGGAAATCCTATGATTCGGTTGCCATTTGTGGATGTGAACCGTTGGCTTTTGTTCTTGTCTCGATGTATCATGTGCATCGATATTTAATGTTGGTCGATTTGTTTCATCCCATGGTTTCGAAATAATCAATGTTGGTTGATCTGAAATAATTATTTTAATCATTAATTACTGACATAATAAATGTTGTTAATTAATCTTTTAATAATTGAAAAACTGAATGATAGCAAAATAAATGTGATAATTATTGATACTCGCTATTGTATCCATTGTTTGGATCTGTGTTCGAAATAGTCAATGTCGGTCGATTGAAACGTTGATCTAAAATAATTATTTTAATCCTTAATTGCTATTTTGACACAATAAATGTTCTTAATTAATTTTTTAATAATTTAAAAACTAAATAATAGCAAAAGAAATATAATAATTATCGATACTCGCCAATGTATCCATTGTTTGGGCCAATGTTGCTCCATGTGGGATATCGCACATTGACGATACCAGCTTGCGAAAATTGTTTGCGATTACCACCCATTGTAAAGGATTGCGAGATACCAGCGGAAGATGCAGCACCGGTAATCGCTTGTCCATTTTCAATCGTTCCGAAGGAAGTTGCAGTTGCTTGACCAAAACTAAACGAATGGCTTTCAGTTTTGGCATTGTTACCGTTATTATAAGCTTCCGCGCCTGCGGTAGAAATTCCTGATAATCCCGCAGAAACAGTCGCCGATTTGCTTACGGAAACAGAAGATCTGAAAAGCAACTGTCTTTTAGGGTGCCTCTACATAATTCACAAATTGCAAAACGTAGTTCGCAAATGCGTAGACGCAGAATGACGATCACCGTATATAAGACACATACAGATGAAAACTAATCGTACGCAATGAAAAAAAAAACAAATGCAAATTTTCATTCTGCGTTTGCGCAGAATATGTTTTGCGATTTGCGAATTATGTAGAGGCACCTTTATACATAGGTATGTGCTATTAGAAAAGAAATATTGACAATAGGTCTGTTCTTTATCAAAGAACCTTCTGAACTGATGCACACAGTGCAATAAATGGAGTGAAACAAATTAGATTTGTTTCACTTATTACATCAGTGTGTACCAGTTCAGAGAATTCTTTGATAAAGAACAAACGTATTTTTTAAATTTAATAATTGAAAAATAATCGAAGTAAATTCGACTGTTTTACACAAAATAAATACTACAATTCTATAAGTATTGGAGAAATATTTAATTTCTAATAAAATAATTGGAAATTAAATATTTGTGCTTTTTTTATGTGTTTTCTCATAATTCTATCTAGCTTTTCTTCTGCCTAATGCAATTAGAAACGAATTTTAAATTATACCACATTATTTCATACACACCCATCAGTCTCATACCCCGTAAGACGATTGTGACTGTTACTTTCCGAAAAGCTAACACCGTCGAGACTTGCACCCAGACTGACAGAGTGAGCATTGTTATTCCCTGCAATTAAACTGACAGTCGCTGTGACGGGAATGAGGGAAAGGAGACGCATCTGGGGTTCTTCATTGTCTAAGATCTTAACGATCGACTCTGGTGTTAGTTCTGGCGGTGTATTCCATTGTCGCTCGTATTCATCTATTCAATAAAAAGTGTTAGTTTACAAGTATCTAAAAATTCAGGTGATAAGAGAAAGCATATACGTGCATTCTTATATTTCACCAAATTATATACTTGCATCAGTTATAAGAAGATTGAGACTGAAGTCAAACACATACATAAAATTCTTGTAAATCTCCGAATCATAACACTCTTACAAAACATAAACATAATCGATACATTCGAATAAATTGGTACTACTTGATTTAAAAAATTCTAAAATAATTTTGAAAACTTAAATTAATTTTTATTCTCGTTAAAATAAATAGGAGATGATATTTTTATGACGAGCAAATTATAAAAGACTTGTGTTTCTATACATATAGGTACGATTGAATAAACATCGACGTAATGGGATAAATGAAAAAATATGATTCACCTTTTGCTCATTTATTTGCTTCGTGTAAATTAATAAAATAACGAAACAGATATTATTGGCTGTTCTCTCTCTACTGATTATTTGCTTTTAATCATTGCAATTTGTATTACATTGTTACTTAATTATTGCATTTTTTAAATTATAAATTAAAGGGGAAATGCAGCAAATATGCATTTGTTTTACTATATAAGCTTTGTATTAATTTAACAAAACATTGAATTTATGTAGTGCATGAGAAAATTATACTATATGTCACAGAACTTAAGAAATATTGATGATACAGATAACTTTTCTGTTTTTAGATTTTTTAATTTGAATTTGAAATACTAACATCACTATTTATTCATATGATGTAAAAGGTTTTAAAAATATTATGAATATATCGAAACGAGCACAATATTACGATACACTCAACAGGTTTAAAACTGATATTTTCAGTGCACTTGCAATATGATATGCTTGCACTTATCACATATATGCGCAGTAACACTTATATTTCCATTTTCTAGAAATATTTCTCTCACCTGCCCGTACAAACGATAACACAAACGTTAATAAAAGAATGCTGCCAATGTTCTTCGCCATGTCTGAAAACGTTCTGACTTGATCGTATCACTGCTCCACCCTTTTTCAATAACCACGCATGACCTTAGATTTGTCATTAAAATACAGGACGCGTTCGACTGCGTAATTCTCTTTAGGTGAATTATTGCTTGATGACGCGAATCACGAGACAGAAATATAAGTCTCAATGATAAACAGATACCAGCAATCAATGAACTTTTTGAATCATAATTATTTAGCATACACACACGTTGTTAAGTTAAAGAATAGATTATAATCAAATTTTATGGACATGTTTAAATAGGAACAATAATTTTTTATCTTTTATGATAGTAATACATAACAGTTTTACTACAGTTGATAATTTTTGTTGAAAAGTATCGATTAAGATTTAAGTTTCTTTTTATGTTTTTTTATGTGCCTTATTTTTTTTGTTCAATTGTGCTGTATTTTTTTCGCTCTCATTATTTTCAAAAAATCTTAATTATTCCATTTGATTGAAACGACACTATTGATATTCTTCTTTTTCAACTAATGTTTAAGATACTTCCTGATTTTTTTTTCATTGACTCGGTTTTCCTTTTGTGAGTCTTCTCTATCAGGGCAAGGTTAAGGAATAATTCGACAATAGTTCTGTCACTAAAAAGAACTTATTTTCCATCTAATTTTAATATATAAACATGTTTTCCATTTTCTATTTAACGAGTATGATTATTCGTAGAACGACTTTTGTCGTCTATACTTACAAAATGTGTCTATGAAATTAGTACGGCATTTTATTATCATTTTAATCATATTCTTGAGGCTTCATTTTTGAGGCTGATAATCATAAAAATAATCATAAAAATAAATTTAATCATATTCTTGAGGCTTCATTCTTGAGGCTGATAAAATAATACGGTTACACTAACTGCTGCGTAAACGAATGCACCCAAAATGTATCGCCTTATAAAAAAAATATAAAAATACGTATCTTTTTTTTACTGAATGTTGTGCTTTATTGTATACGAGGAATGGAAAATGAAATTTTTTAATTATTTATTTGCACTCGATTATTTACTTTTATCAATGAAATATAATTTTTAACTACCAATAAGACTATAAGGGACCCTCTAAAAAGATACCTGGAGCTACAATCTCTTTAGCCCCGATATGGATCAGCTATTCATGGATTGTACAATAATATGTCGTCCGAAGTGCTCTTCGAGATGTCCTCTGAATCAGGTTTTTCCTTTTCATAGTCTTCACGGAATATCGCGGTTTCCACATGGAGAGGGAAGATCATAAAGTGAAAATAATCGAAGAATTTCGTTTTTTTCCGATACGTTGCTTGATACAGTACTCTCAGATACAATACTCTCAGATATCTTGTCATCTTCCAACTTTTCCTTTTCCTCCTTGTTATCTTTCAACTCCTCAGTTTTTAATCTTTTACTCTCAGTCTGTGTAAATTGCTGATCTACCAAAGCTTTATCTGGTTCTACAGGACTTATTACGTATTCATGTGTTTTATTGTTTGATGCGGTGTTTACAGTACTCTCAGATACAGTACTCTCAGATACAATACTCTCAGATATCTTGTCATCTTCCAACTTTTCCTTTTCCTCCTTGTTATCTTTCAACTCCTCAGTTTTTAATCTTTTACTTTCAGTCTGTGTAAATTGGTGATCTACCAAAACTTCATCTGGTTCTACAGGACTTATTACGTATTCATATGTTTTATTGTTTGATGCGATGTTCACAGGTGTCGATTGATTTTCTGTAATCAAATAGTTCATAACACAAACAGCTAGAATAAAGCAAATGCTTAATTACCACATATATATAGTAAATAAATATATCTTTTATTATCATGTATACATTTTAGAAACTTACTTTCGATGACTTCATTCAAGTTATCCGATACGTTATCATGTTGGTCGTGAATTTCATCTAAGAATGATAAAATGGTTACTAATTCTTCTTTCAAATCGTCCGAAGTATTTGTGTGTACAACGATTGGATCATTTAGTTTCGGAAAGTCTTCACGAACGGGTGATTTAATTTCCGTCTTGATCTTTGAGTCTGATATTTCTTTTTCTGGCTTGAGTAGCACTAGATTATATTTTGGAGAATTGACTGTTCTATAATGTATTGGATAATCGTCTAAATCATAATCGTTTTCTAAATCATAATCGTTCCATGGATAATACCTAATGTGGGGGGGAAGACCTGTACATACATTACAATATAAATTTATGTTTATTTTTAAATAAAAAATGTTACTGACATAATTTATTAAATTTATTAAATATAATGAAGATACAATTAAAAATTTGTCAATAGTTTTCAAAAATTTATCAAAAATTTTCAAAAAAAGTATACAATTTTCGAAATATCACTATACTTATACGTACAATATTGTATTATGTAACAATGCGGCGTCGGCGTACAACTTTATGAATTATAAATTATAATGCATTAACACTTGATATACTACGAACAATATTATTGTATTCTCGATTAGCATATAAGAATAAAGGAAAAAATAGTTTAAATATGTTATAACTTGGATAAATGCATGAAACTATAAAAATCAACAATTGTTAGCTACAGTCGACAGAAAGTTATTAAATCGTCGGTTTCATGTTACTTTTGTAATACAAAGAAGAAATGATTTATTAATATAGTAATATAAATCATAAGAATTAATTATAGGTACTCTTGTGCATAATTGATCACTTATTTAATTGTCGGCATTCTTTTTATCTGTGGTTTATTAAAAATATATACATATGCATCTTATGTTCTGCATTTTGTTGTTATAATGTTATTTGTGTAATTCACATAATACTTGTTCGTTAAAAAAATATTATATGATATAAGCGTATTCTTGATATTCCATAAACTAAAATGAAGTTCTTTTTGATGTAAATTAATTTGCATTTGTAATATTTTGCCTGTACAGAAATGACAATCGCACGAATTTTTGATTGTTCGAAAGCCGTTTAAACAATTATATTAATATCAAATTATCTCAGTATTAAAAAATGTTAAATAATTAATTTATCATACCTATTTTATATTGAATAATTTATTATACGACTCTAATAAAAAATGGTTAGAGTCATATAATACTTAAGAAAAATACATATTTATATAATATATATATATATATATATATATA